ATCACAATAAAGGGTATAGATGAGCAAACAGATGAAGGGACACAAAGGGCGAGGCCTGGAAAGTCCCAAGGGCAGGAATTAGGGCGAACCCCCTCCCCAGCACCCAGATGTGTTCACCAAACTAAAACTAGTGCTTTTGAGACTTTGTGGTGTTTGATTGCCTAGGTGTGATGACATCATGGACCCTTGGTATCAACTCAGCCTTCTGTTGTTCCCTCCCTAGAAGTTGGGAGATGAGACTGAAAGGGGAAAGTCCATCTGGTTGGTCCTAAGAAGTCCTCTTCCTACCCAAGAGTTACATTCAAACAAATGATACTCCTGTCACTCAGAAAATGGCAAAGGTCTGTGAGCTCTGTGCCAGGAACCTGGGCCAAAGACCAAATGTCAGAGCAAAAAATTCCCCAAACAGTCCTATCAGAGATGCTCACTTGTACACACACACGTGTGTGTGTGTGTGTGTGTGTGTGTGTGTGTGTGTGTGTGTGTGTGTATGTGTGTGTGGTGCTGGCAACTGAGCCTAGCTAGGGCTTCAAGCATGCTAGACAGATGCACCACCCCCGTCCACTACCAGAGGTTTAGCAGCTGTGTCAGAAACTGTGGTCAGAGACCTCATGTATTTTTATTACATTACAATTTTATAATCAATCAAACCTGGTCTGGAAGTTATTCTTGATTCTCTATAAGGTATGGACTGAAGCCTAGAATACAAAAATGTTGTCCTTGAAGCACCATCCCACATTGATGTCCTCCTGCCAAACTCAGAGCTTCCTGTGGGAGTAGTGGGAGAGACACAGCTGTATCCCCAGGCCTCAAATTCAGGGTCCCCAAGGTGCTGTCTGGATTCCTCCTGCCCCTTCCCCAGTGACTGAGCAGCTGTGTGCAATGGTTGTGGGGCTGACGTGTTTGGCAGCTTTGCTCCCAGACCCTGGCTTGGTGCCATGGGAAGATCACACACTTCCTATGTGGCCTTCTTCTCCTGATTTCTCTCTGTCTCTTGCTATATAAGGGCTCTGACCTCTTTGGTCACCCACCCGTAAACAGACCCATGTCTCTGAGACATCATGATAGTTAGGAAGCCCCTCCCTTTTGAATGGAAATGTCAAAGACATCTTCTGAATCCTGCATGCTTGTTTTTTGAAGCCATGCACAGACTAGGCATTTCTCCTAACAGATGGACAGATTGTTCTAACAATCCTATCCACTGACAAGGGAGGAGATTGGAATGGAGAACTTTCCCTGGAGAGCTGGAACTCTGTGTGTCCCTACTCTGATGACTTGACCTCCTGGGTCTCAGCTTCTTCATTCGGAAAGGAAGATGAGCGGCACCTACCTCCTTAGTTGAGGACCAGGTGGCAAATGCTGACTCACAGCAGATCTCCAGGATGTGAAATTCTTTTTCCCATCTTTCTCTTCAAAGGATCTGTGCTGGATCTGATTTCTCACTGTTGGAGGTGGCGCTGCAGGAGAGATTCCTGCCTCAGAGAAGTGGGGACCAGGCTGTCTGCAGAGTCTGATTCTGCAGTTCGATGTTTGGCTTTCCGAGATCTCCCTCTGCTTGAACATTAGAATCTCAGCATGTGTATGTGTGTCTCTGTGTCTTTGTGCATGTATACACTTGTGTGCAAAGGAAAGGATGGGAGTCATGGAGGAGGGAGAAAGGGAAGATGCACCTCAGTTGTCAAAGGCATCTCAGTTGGAGAGCAGTGTACTGCTTCAGATTAGTTTGGTCCATCTACTGGCTACATTCTGACACAGCCCTGTCACTTTTGGAGAGAGTGAGCATCCCATCATTGAAGGTTTTCAAGTAGTGGCTGCAGGGCATCTGGCAGCATTCTAAGGAATACAGGCTGGATTCAACAACCAAGAAGGTTCTTCTTGGCGCTAGAATTTCATAATCATGGATGCCACTGTACAGCTTTACAAGATTTAAGACAGCCAGAGTGGCACATGGTGACCTCACAGTATCCCCATGGGGTCGGAGGTGAAGACTTGTATTGCACCTGGGCTGTATCCTCATCTCCTGAATGAGTGAAAACTACTCCACTCATTGTCATTTCGCTAATAAGAGTAAGGATTTTATTAGCAAGAGGTGGCTGTAAAATCACTGTCCATCCATATGGAGTGTGATGTGGGTATAGTGAGAATCTGGGGGAACGGAAGTCCTTATGCCTGGCTTGGGTGGTGCCACCTAGTCTTTCACACCTCACCTCCCACACGTCAGGCACTGTGCCAGGCACCTGCTGTGGGTTGCAGCTCTGTGGAGACAGTCTGTAGACAGAAATGTCCTCCAAGGGGCAGTGTCAAAATGGGCCTGGGAGGAGAGAGAAGCCTGGGATAGGTACATGTGATCATTTTACCAATCTGAATGTAAGCCAAAGGGGAACAGATTCATTAGAGTTGAAATGTTTGTAGTTGTTTTTAATCCTACAGTGACAATATATACTTAACCTGCTTACTGAGAAGGGCTGTGCCATTACAAGGAGGCTCCAAAAGACCTTCTCTGTGCCCATCTTAGGATGTGCCCATCTTGCCCAGAAGGTGGCCTTGAAAGAAGGATAGCTCAGCAGTGAGAGATGGTGGGAGCATGATAGGGACCCAGGGGCCATCTTAGGAGTAAGAATCCATGGGGCACAGTGGCAGGGGCTAGGGAGTAAGCAAGGGGAAGTGGAGGCCCAAACGTGGGGTCAGCAAAGCAGCATGACTGATGTGGACCAACATGGCCAAGAGTCTCCCTGTTGTAGAAGCTGGATCTCCACATGTGTCCTGGACCCATTCCTCTCCCTTCTAGGGCTTTCTTTCTTGAGCTGTGCTGCTAGCTCCCTTGTCTCCTCTCACTCAGTGGATTGTTCCAGTGATCAAATAAATCACTCTAGCATCTTCTGTCTCTGAACATCCATTTGTCCTTCCATGTGGCCCCTGCTGTGCCCCAGGCCCTCCCCCTCCCCACCCCTTCAGACCTAGTACAATCTTCTCTGCTGCTGCCTGGCAACTGCAGTGACTTCCTTGCCCCACACTGAATGGGCAAGTGCCTCCAGACTCATCTTCCCCACCTCCTCAGCAGCATTAAGACAGCTGACTGCTCTCTTGGATGCCAAATTCCTCCCTGACTCATTTAAAAATATTCTACACTAGTTGATCATTTTAAATCTCTTTTGCTTGATTCTTTTCTTCCCTCATTTTCAAATGGTGGAATCATTAGTGTTTGCAGTACTAGGGATTGAACCAGGGCCATTGGACAGAGCTATAACCCCAGCCCTTTTTATTTTTTATTTTCAGATAGGGTCATGCTAAATTGCACAGGATGAGCCTGAACTCAAGATCCTCCTCTCTTTCAGCCTCCCAGAATGCTGGGAGTACCAGGTGTACCTCTTGCCTGGCTTCAAATGGTGGCATTATTGAGGGTGCTAGGCAAGGCTCTCTTGTCTGTCAAACTCTTTCTCTAGGGAGGGCTTTCGTCATAATGGCTGTAACTATATAGAAATGTAAGTGCTGACTTCCATATCTTTGTCTCTAGCCTCCCTGGGTCCAGACTTGTACACCAAACAGTCAGTTGAAGCTCTCCAAGTGAATCTCCCTTCTCAAGCAGAGCTACTAACTCTGCCCTTCCCAACAAATCTGTTCTTCCCCCATGGTTGCTCATTCCTTGTGTTCCTTTAAAGCTCACTGCTCAAGATAAAAAGCCAGCTTGCTTTGGAGAGGGCAAATGGAAGAAAGAGACGGTGACTCTCCTGCTTTTGATTTCTTCTTTTCACCTCTCCAGCCAGTCTGTTGGTTTTACTTCCTCCCTCTCCTCCTTTTCCAGTGGGGTGACCACCGTGTTGTTTAAATGCTCCGCTGTGGCCCACCTTCCTCTTGCTGTGGCCCACAAGCCTTTCCATGCCTTGGGCCCTTCTTTTTCCTTATCTTCATTGCATCTTACTGTCCACCCTGAACCCAGCCGTGCTGATCCTCCTTGTATTCTTCAAACCCTGGACCTCATCACCACATTAGGGCTCTTGGATTTCACCCTGGGCTTTTTGCCAACCTGATTCTTTCTTATGCTCTAGCTCTTAGCTCCAGCCTTACCTTCTCAGGTGCCCTTGTTGAAAATCAGGCAGCTTTTGCACAGTATTGTTTGGGTGTCACCTGCTTATGTATTTATTTTTGTAGCATTTAAAATTTTAATTTTACTGCTTATATATATCATTATTTGTTCTACTGTGTATCTTTTCCACTTGAGTGTAAGTTCCATAAAAAAGGAACCTAATCATTCTTGTGCCTCGTTCTATCTAAGCCCTTAGAATGATGTCAGGTATATGGTACATGCTCAATAAGTATGCCTTGAATGCATGGTCAAAGTAATATAGGCATCATATTAGAAGGCTCCATATATTCAGGAAGCTCTTCTAAGCTGGCAGTCCTCTACTACTTCCAGACTTTGATAGATGGATCTGTTTCCCTGTGCATGATGGCTAACAGGTTCTAGCCCTGGTTTAGGCTTGGGTGATTTTTGTTGTCTTTTGGGGTGGTCTATATATTTTAAAGTTTCTATAATGAACATATATTTCTGTTGTATTATGGAGAAAATTGTTTTCCAGTTCTTTACAAGTAATAATAATAAAGAAAAAGGGAGGAAGCAAAGAAAAAAATTATAAAAGTGGTGGATTTGCAACAACAAAACTTAAGCAGGCTAACTACTGTGTGGGTGACTTGAAAGGTTGAGGAGCAGAAGGAAGGACAGAGAGTGGAGAGGAAGGCAGGTGTCAGGGAATAATACCACCACTGCTGGTGTGAGATGGACCAGTGTGGGCCTCACCTAACAGTGCCCCACATAGGTGCTCAACGTGCCTGACCTTGGTCATTGTCAGCATCTAGTCTGTAGACTTTCTTAAAATGACATTGGTCATTGTCAGCATCTAGCCTGTAGTGTATAGACTTCCTTAAAATGTCCTTTTTGGACCCTGCCACTTAGGGGTTTCTTCCTGGAGGCTTGCTTGTGACTGAGTGATCTTGTCTTTTAGAGTGCAACAGAGAAGTCACCTGGAGCCTACTTTCTTCCTGAGTTTGCACTGTCTCCTCAGGGAAGTTTCCTTGAAGATACAACAGGGGAGCAGTTCCTCACATATCGCTATGATGACCAGGTAAGAACACTGTAGAAGGACTTACCTTTGGCTTTGTCATATGCCAGGGGCAAGATACAGTATCTTAAAAACACCTCTGTGTTGGTTACTTTTTCTTATTGCTGGAACAAAATACCTGGCACCCCAAATTAAAGGAAGAAACATTGATTTAGTTCACAGTTTGTGGAGGTTTCAGTTCATGTTCAACTGGGTCCAAAGCAGAATGATATGGCAGAGGGCAACATTTCATGGCAGCAGAACACAGAAAAAGCAGCAAGAGCAAAAAGAGAGGAGCATGTAAAGAAGACTCTTTCACACCCTTAGATTGTGTGTAGGTTACCCTAAGGTAAGTACAGCACTCACACATATAATCCCAGTGTTGGACTGTGAATCCCTCACAAATTCTACAAGCCCATCCTCATAGCTGCATGAGGCTTCGAGGGGACCTCCAGAGACAAGCCATAACACCTTCTAAATTAACTGTGTTTTCCTCAGTGCAGTGCTCACGCAGCAGACCCTTGACACTCTCAAGGGATCCCAAAGCCCCTGGACAGCTCATGCTTGCACACAACTTCCTACACCATATGCAGCTTTGGTTTTTGTTGGAGTATTTGCTTAAGAATCACTTATTTTTCTTATTTCTATGTCAGAAATATCTGATGGATTCATTCATTTTAGTAATCACTGTCCTGAGTATTTTATGCTGAAATTATCCAGAAGTTCTTGTTCTGATTCAGGATCACTTCCTGCCTTCTGTGTCTTTACTTCAGTTTTTTTTTTTTTTATTTTTTCAGCTTTACCAGCACTTTTCTTTTCCAAGCCTATTTTCCAGAAAGTAACAAAGTGTGTATGGCTTGCATGTATGTGCATGTGCATACGTCTGTGTGTTTAAATCATTTCATGAAGGTTAACCAGAAAATAAGGCCTGGGCTTGGCTGATGCCTTAGCAGCATTTAAGATTATACACGCCTTTGAGATTACTTACAACTCATTGAAACAGAGCATGTTCAGCTATGCCAAATTCAGAGGTTTCTAGCTAGGGAGCCTGAATTCCTGAGGCACTGCATCGGACCAGGATAGGGTTTAAGCCCACGTGGGCCTTTGATCGATCCAGCAGATCTTGGCACATACAGGCCCAAGTGGAGACCAGGAGCTGGGCATGATTACCTTGTCATGGCCCACGACAGTGTGGAAGGAGATGGCCCAGCAATTGAGGCCAGCTGTGCTGTCCTCAGCTGTGTAGTCCAAGGCCAGCACATTCTGGTTTGATTTGGAGAAGGCCTAGTTGGGGGCAGATGACAGCATTCATAAGAGCAGCTCTGAGCAGCCAAGTCTGCCAACCCCGGGGAAAAGGGGAAATGTGACTGAGGCAAAAGGGACCAACTCTGGGGCTGGCTGGAGGAACAGATATGGGAAAGGAGGTGGGAAGAGAACTAGAGTCCTGCAGAGCACAAAGGCTGGAGACTGGGGCAAGGGTCAGTAAAGGTGTCGCTACCTGGGATGGAGTCCTTGCTCAGAAGGGGGCACTTCATTTTACCTGTTATCTCAGTCACTTTCCTCATCAATGAGACACCTGACATCCACAACTTAGAGGAGGACAGTTTATTTTGGCTCATGTTTACTGTTCACAACTGGCCAGCCCAGGGAAGAAATAGCTCTGGCAGAAATGGCATGGGAAAGGGGAAGAGCAAGAGGCAGAATAAAGACCTGCTCAGGACCTACAGGCCAGAAAGCAGAGAGAGACAACAGGAGCCTGACCGGGAGACACACCCTTCAGGCCATGCCTCCAGGGACCTCCTCTTCTCACCAAACCCCATCGTGTACCAAATCAGCCATTTTGACCCCATGGTCCAATTGCTTTACAAAAGACCCCATCTTGAGTGTGTGAGACCTTGCTGTACATCTTGGATAAAGCGTAACACCTGTCTTAGCAGGTTTATCTCTGCATCTAAGGTTGGGTGAGGGGCAGAGCTGTGATCTAGCAGATGAGACCATTTTTTAAGTCAAAAAAATTTCAATATCCAGTCATTTTTTTCAAGTGACTTCAGAAATGACTGCATACATAGTTACCTGCGTAGATGTAGGGTGAATAATAATTTGGTATTTGCATAAGAGCACAGGCATTTGTGCCCACTTGCTAATAAAATCTAAAATATTAAGATGCTTTCTCTGCAAAAGATTTTTTTAGACCACCTAAAATTTATGATGTGTTTTAATGAAAAAATCCGTGATCCAACAGGTTTCATAGGAGACCTTAAGAGAAATGAATTGAGAAAACCAGAAAAGATAAAAGAGAGTCTGGAAAAATATTGAGCTATGTATTTTAAAATTAGAGTGGTTAATGCCTTCTGTAGGTTTACAGGTACATTATATTTACTATAATAACAATAAAAGGCTAAAAAAAAAGAGGGAAACAGGAACCCTCAGTTCTTTTCTAATACAGATCTTTAAAGTGTGTGGTGTGCTGTGGGAATTTCACCCAAGGACATGTTCCAGAAAGCTCTAGTGATGGACACATGAAACCATTCAGGGTCTTCCACTGTGAGCTTCTTTTGTGGAAAAGGAACAGAGACTAAAGACAGCAAGCTAATAAAGTCACCTTCCCCCTCAGTCAATGGCAGAGAAAATAGGCCCTTCTGCTCAACGAAGTGTGTTTCCTGAAGGAACCTCAGGATGGGCCAGAGACTGTTTCCAGCTCCCAAGGCTCAACTCTCCTCCCTGTGCCTAACATGCAGGTGGCCCTGTCATGTCAGGGAGGTTCTTGGGCACAGAGGAAAAGATACAACCAATCAAATTTATCAAAACATTTTAAGAAGGCCCTTTGGTAGTATATGAGAAACATCTAGATGAATTAAAAGCCAAGTCCTTCGCATTTGAATCCCGGTTCTGCCATGTTCTTTGCTGTTTGACTTTGGGAAAGTTACTTTCCTCCCCTGCATCTCTGGGCCCTCAGATGTGAAGCAGAGATGAGGATGCCAACACCCCTTGTGGGAGTGTTCTGAGGACTTAACAGAGATAATTCCCAGAGGTCTCCTTGCACAGCATTGTATAAACATTTAACTACTGTTACTACTAATATTATTTGCAAACATCTCATTTTGAGAATCTCAGATAAGCCTATGCTAAAGGAAAGAAAGGAGTATGTTTTCCATGTACATTAGGGGACCCTACACAATATTTTAAATTAACTTTTATTGAGTTTCTAACACACATGCAGTAAAATGTATACATAGCTAAAGCACAAAACTTGATGAATTTTAAAATATTTCTACATCTCCATAACCACTGCCCAAGTCAAGAAATCAAGTACTGCCTCCTGTTGCTGTTGTAGGTTGGTTTTTGTCTGCTTTTTATTTTTAATTTTACATAAATGGAATCACCCAGCACGTACCCGCTTTTGTCTGGCTTCTCTCACACATCATTATGTCTGAGAGACTCAATCAGTCTTGGATCCAGCATAATATAGGATGTAAAGTCTAGCAGCCAGTTGTGCTCGTCGGAACAAATTGTCTAATACTGGAACACACTGCGGCAGGCCGGGGCAGGCAGAGCTGCTCCTGCCCGGAAATTCCCAGACCCAGACCGTCAGAGGAGCTGGCAGGGCGGTCGCAGAGGTTCAGTGCCTGGTCGGGTGGTGGAGGGCGCTGTTTTCCAGGGTATCCTTTGTTTTACAGAGCAGGAAGTCTGCGCAGGGTCTGCTGCATGCGCTTCCGGGACAGCACCCTTCTGTGCTGGTCTGCAGCCTGGATGCTCACCTGCAGTCTCTGTCTACGCATGCGCCTGAACTGCTGTCTGCCTGTGCAGTGGCCTAAAGCCAGACTTGACAACCTGCGTATGCAGTGAGGCTGAGATCTGGTTTCTAACACTGTTTGTGCAGACATGGGTTCACTCAGGTCTTCCTCCCCGTTAAATACTCATTTGATAAAATGGGAAGCAGGTGCAAGTTGGGGAGATGTCAGCTTTCTTGGACAACCCTTGTAGGACTTTAAGTATTTTATACTGGGCATATTTTCATGAAGACCTTCAGGTCAGTCTTCAAATGGCTTCTGGATTAGGTGCCTGGAAAACTAATAACCCAGAGGCGGGTAAAGCACAGCTGAGATGTAGGCTGTGTTTAATGAGACACATAAAAGCCACACTGTGGATCATTCAGGGAGCCGAAGCAGCTTCTAGTGAAGCCAGCTGGGGAGCAGTGTGACTTAGTGCAAACAGGACTAGTCAGGCAGGGCAGCCCTCCTCCCGTCACTAATTAGCTTGTAATTTAGCAGTTATTTGACATCTTTGGACCTCAGATTCTTGAGCTGTTTTGAAAAACAAGTGACTGTGTTTCATGATCAGTACTCCTTCCATTCCAAAACTGCCTTTTCTACAAATAGAGTATTCCACATTGCAGAGTGTTAATTGGATCATGCTGATGGTCCAGGCCCTCTTGCCAGCAACACAGTGAACTATTACTTAGAGAATTATAGAATTTTACAACTGGTGCAGACTTTGGCCCAAGCACTCCATTTTACAAGTCAAAAGGACAGAGGCTTTGTGCAAATGACTTACTCAAGGTCATCCAGATGGTTATTCGAAAAATTGAGACCACTACAGTCCCAACCCTGGCTCTCCAACTCTAGGATAAACCTGGCTGCTGCTCTCAGAAGAATTACCTAGAAAATCCTATCTTTTTCAAAAAGTCTTGATTCCATTCATGATCTACAGAGCTTTAGGGCCCTTATTACCCCACAGAGAGTGATTTAATGTTTGTGGATATGCTTTTTAGGCTCATTCTCAGCTCCTTCAGGAAAGTGGAATTAGCTATGCTAATAGCATCTTATAAGCACATCATTCCTCCTCAGTTTTCAATAGAAATCACAAATTTTTCAATGTAAGCAGAACATGTTCATTGCAATTAAAAGTGTTGCCTTCCCATTGGGAAGTATGTGTGCAGGTAAATGTCCTAGCACTTGAGTAGTGAGAAAGTATTAGTTAGGGTCAGCTGACTAAGAAGGCGGAAGCTAAAAGAGTTATTAGCC